TATCATAATCTGCTGCCCTGAATGATCAGACATCAAGTATACTTGAATGCCGTCTCCTGTCTATCAAAATATAGTCTATTTGATTGTGTATCTTCCCATCAGGAGATGTCCGAGTAAATTTATGGAAGTTACGACGTGGGAACATTGTACTTTTGACAGTTAAGACCTTTTGATGTGGCAAAGTTTACTACTCTAACTCCATTATCATTACTAATTTCATGCAAACTCTCATTCCCAATCATTGGTTTGAAGTACGAAAAAAACCTGTACCTAATTCATGATTCACAGTCACCTTTCCATATAGAAATGTATATTCGCCTGCTGGTTCGGTGCCACCTCCGTCCCATCTGACCTTCTGTACTCCCGCTAAATCTAACTTACATTTGTATATTTTGAGATCTCTTCCGCCACTGCCCTGAGCGAACCTGCCCTATGTGTACTTCTAGCATTCCAAATGCCAAATCTCATATCCATTTTCTTTCGCCTAGGTCGTTTATCCAAGGAATCCGTCCAGGTCCGAGGCTTGCAAATTTTCGCAACAAGCTTTCTATATGGTGAGGCGTTGTTAGCCCCACGACAAACGCCCAATCTGCAGAACCGCTCCTTGTCGGCTGTCCGCGACTGCTTAGTCAATATATGTGATAAGGGATCCACCTAACATGGAATGTTTACCTGTACGGACTTTAATATACGTTTCATTTAAACACATTAATGAGTCTACCTCGTTTCATGGGTACCACAAACTATATGAGAATATTGCACAACACAAAGTACTTCCCTCATAACTGAAACACAGGTTTACTTGAAGACTATGGGCAGCTGATGTACGACACACCACAACATAACACAATAAGAAATTTAAAGTTAAATATAAATAATTAACTAACTTGTATTTAATTGCAGTATTTTCACCAGACATCAGCAACCAAGTGCACGCGTACCTCGTCGCATCTTCTACACACAACATCCCCCACAACGTCGTACAACGCGCCTGCATACACCCCACAGTGCCTGCACGTAAGTACAGTATACGGGCCGCGCCATAGCCCAATCGCTTAGTCGCTGACTTCCTACCGCGGCGGCCCGTTTTCAATCCCGGGTCTGGGCAAGTGGGATTTGTGGTGGACAAAGTGGCGCTGGGGCAGGTTTTCTCCGAGTACTTCGGTTTCCCTTGCCAATCTTCATTCCACCAATTGCTCCACAAGCACCCTCACCTATCATCTGGGGCTGGTACAATAGGTCAGAAGTGGCCGCAGTACAAGGGACTTAGTCCCACCCCACTAGCAATAAAAAAGTACTTGTAAGAAATTTGATTAATTTCTGTTATAGGCCTGAACAGATATTAAACCAACTGCATGAAGTAATGACTTAATTTAAGTTTTTTTATTAACAGTGAATTTTAGAAACACTTTCACTCGTTACTGAATTATTAATATCCTAAATGAATGATGTGATGGAAAATAGGGAAAAATACCTAATTAAAAGCTTCATACTTTGCACTCCTCGCTATAGTTTATTAGAGCGAAGAAACCAAGGGCGATAAGACATGGTCGGCCTCGCGATAATGCTCTAGTAAACTTTCATTCAGGAAATATTTGGTTCGAATCTCACTAAGGACACCGGCCACCTCGATTACGGTTTTCGTGCTTTTTCTCGGTCCCTCCGTTCCAATTCTGGGATAGTACCTCGATGAGACTATGACCACTTCCTTTCAAATTATTTAAAATCCATTATGTACGAATAAGCCTAGCATTCGATGCTATATAAGCTTAAATACTGTTGGAATCGGTGTTCTCTGTGCGGCCATTACCTAGCAACTGCCGTTATTTACAGAGCCATTACTTAGCAACCACCATTTTATAGTTGTTTGTATCCTGGTTGTTGCCTAGCAATGGGTCTACATACCACGATACTAATAACGTCGTTAAATAAGCCACAAAAACTAACGAGTAAAATAAGATTAGTGGTAAACGTAGGCCACGTAGGGAGACAACAAATGCATACAGAATTTCAGTAAGAAAATGTTAAGAGACGAGACCGCTTGTAAATGCTATGAACAGATGGGAGGATAATATTAAAACGAAACATTAAACTGGGCGTGTCTTTGTTGAGTGGTTTCAAATGACTCATGACAGCCAACAGTGGCGGGGTTTGCGAATATGGTAACATGTTCCGTAAAGTCCGGGGAATTTCTTCAGCAGTGAATTGATAATTAGTATCTGAAACAAAAATCTTTCTCTATGAAATTGTTATAGCATCAAGTTCTTTCTAGTTCTCACTCAGAACTTGCCAACGCGTCCGGCGATTTCGTAAAGCTGTTATATGATAGAAGTGCAGGCAACATAATGAAAATCAATGTCCCAGAGGAAGGAGAAATATTTTATTTCGCACAAGTAATGTTATAAGTTTAACTGTTACAAAGGCAAGTGACCTACTTACATATTATATTAATGTCAGATATTGACTTCTGAAAACAACATTTGAACAAAACAGTATGGTCCATTGCCAACTCTAAAGTACAAGTACAAGTATTAAGTAATGTAATGAGAAATGTAAACTCAGACATTTGTATCTGTGTTTGAAGTTAGCTGAAAGGCAAACGCAATTATAAGACAAACGCAACAAAGGACGTGTGTCCGTGGGTTCAAGGCTCAGGAATAGCCAACTGCAGGGCTGTTACAGCACGCTGAGAAGCGAAGGAGAGTCTCTGGAGTCCCGACTTCTCTGCCACACTTGCAGCCCGCACAGAGTATGCTCTCAACTTGTTCTTGGAGAGCAGCTCGCCCACACATCTGAATCATACAGGGCACACCTTCAAATTTAGTTTTCTAGTCACCACAAATGAAATACTTGTAAAATCATTGGACAGTGACTGAGGTTATCTCTTTCTGACGGAACCAACCCACCCTCACCTGAGGACGGAAACAGATCCAGCTTTCGAAACGCTTAAATAACGTAAAAAAAACAGTAATCCTAAGTGTTTTACACCTTCGTCACAACCCTTTACAATCTGCTTGTTAATTCTATATACGGTATACTTTCTGCCATTTCTTTACTGGTCACGTAGGATGTACCTACACAATGTTGTGACACAGACAAACAAACAAACAAACAAACAAACAAAAAAACTCCGTGATTTTAGTCCGCAAGCGAACTATACCGACCGAACGACCGCCGCTTGTCGGCG